CTCATCGTCGTCGTCCTCGTCGTCGTCGTCTTCGTCGTCGTCTTCGTCCATCCTCGTCCTCGTCGTCGTCGACGTCCTTGTCGTCCTCGTCGTCGTCCTCGTCGTCGTCGTCGTCGACGTCGTCGCCGTCGTCGGCGGCGTCGTCGTCCTCGTCGTCGTCTTCTTCGTCGTCGCCGTCGTCGTCGTCGTCGCCGTCGTCGCCGCCGTCGGGTTCGTCGTCGTCGTCGTCTTCGTGGTCCTCGGCGTCGTTGTCGTCGTCCTCGTCGTCGTCGTCGTCGTCCTCGTGCACATGGTCGTCGTCGTCGCCGTTGTCGTCGCCGTCGTCGGCGACGACGAAGCGCGCCGCGCCCGCGGGGCCGCCCCCAGCGGAGGCGTTCCCCGGGGCCGCTGGTACCTTCTTCGGCGACACGGCCATGAAACGCCCGGCCAGGCTGAACTCGGCGTGAAAACACGTGGGTCGCTTTCGCGCCAAACGGGAACAAACACGAAAACACGTGGGCCCCTTTCGCCCCTGAGCGGAACAAGCACTAAAGCATGTGGGTCCCTTTCGCCCCAGGGCGGAACAGGCGTGAAAACGTATGGGTCCCTGTCGCCCCAGGGCGGTACAGGCGTGAAAACACGTGGGCCCCTTTCGCGCCAGAGCGGAAGAAGAACAAGCGTGAAAACATGCGGGTCCCTGTCGCGCCAGACCAGCACAAGCGTGAAAACACGTGGGTCCCCGTCGCCCGTGGGGCGGAACAAGCGTGAAAACACCTGGGTCCCTTTCGCACCAGAGCAAAACAAACGTGAAAACACATGGCTTCAGCTCGGGGCGACCACGTTAGATGCCCCCCTGGGTGGCCTGGACACGTCGAAGCACGTGTTTCCAGCCCAGCGAGGGGCCTCCATTTAAAATACCCCTCTGGGTGGCCTAGGCACGTGAAAACACATGGTTCCAGCGTGGGGCAAATGGCAACCATCTTAGATACCCCCCTGGGTGGCCTGGACGCGTGAAATCACGTGTCTCCATATGAATAAAGACAACCATGTTGGATACCCCCTCGGGGCGACCTGGGCATGTGAAAACAAGCGTTTCGCCTGAGACATCCCCTGAATTCTGGCCCCCGCTCGCGATATCCCCCGACTCTGCAAAACCAGCGATTCTCCTGGGAAATGCCCAGCACATGTATATAAAACAGCGTTTCGGTAGGGACATCCTAAACTTTACAATTCGCCAGCCCTCTTCGACCCCGTTATTTATCGCAGAATAAGTTCGCTGGCCTTATTATCGCCAACCTCCGTCAAGTCGAAGCCGGGGGTAACCAACTAACAGAGAACATTGGCCCCCTCCCTTTCCAGGAAAAAGAGCGGCCAACGACGGGACTCTACTCAGAATCGCCCGAATCGCTGACAGAGATAAAACCTGCAAGCTCTTCCCAGAACGCCGAATCGGCCTGGGACACAAAACGTATAATGTTCTGAGCGCTCGCGGGAGCCGGCTGGCCCGCGCGTGCGCCCACGGCCACGTCGGCGACGCGAGGAGGAGGAGGAGAGGAGAGGAGGAGGAGGAGGAGGAGGAGGAGGAGGAGGAGGAGGAGGAGGAGGAGGAGGAGGGGAGGAGGAGGAGGAGGGGGGGCGGCGGGAGGAGGAGGAGGAGGAGGAGGAGGAGGAGGAGGAGGAGGAGGAGGAGGAGGAGGAGGAAGGAGGAGGAGGAGGAGGAGGAGGAGGAGGAGGAGGAGGAGGAGGAGGAGGAGGAGGAGGAGGTGGAGGGGCAGAAAGGGGGGGAGGAGGAGATGCGGCACGCTGTCCAGTCACAGGCCTCCGAGGAGGAACCCAGGACCAAACAGCACGCCGCCAGACACCGATGACGGCGGCCCACGAGGGCCCCGCCCAGCCGAGGCGACAGGGCGGGGCAGGGGGCCTGTGAGGGCCCCGCCCCCCCCTCGCACTGAAGGGGGCCGCGGAGGGGTCCCCGAAGTGCCCCAAAGAAACGTGGGGCCAGAACAACCAACAGCATTTCGAGCCGCGCCCAGCAGGACCGAGCTCGGGAGAGCCCCGCCTCGCCCGCACGGGCCAAGCTCTCAGCACCTCTCTAGAATGGCCAGCGCCAGGCGCGTGGAGTCGCCGCGCCTCGCCTGGCAGGCTGCGCCCGCGCTGACCGCGGCCGACGCTACTTGATGAGGTGCTTGGCGACCAGCTTGTTCGGCACCATCGCCGCGCCTATGCCATGTACGGGGTTGCGCCACGTGATGCAGCCGGCGTCGGCGTCCAGCTGGTTGACCGCGCCCTCGGTGCCAGCAAGAGTCTGGATGCATTGGCCGCGGCCTCGGAACGGCGCTGAGACGGCTACGTGGTCGCCGACCGCCAGGCCTCCATATTCGCGACGGGCGGCTTGCCCCCGCTGGGCCTTTGGCTTCCCCATCGCAGGCCACTCAGGGGCTCCCCCGACTCCCTCGCCGTCGTTGTCACGAAGGTCCGCCCAGCTCCGCTCCTGCATGCACATCTCCCGAATGCTGGGCGTCGCCGCCATCGACGCGGAGCGCGGCTCCGTCGCCACGGTGCTCGCCCGCAGCATGCAATCCTCCAGCGTCTCGAAGATCGCCTCCCTGCTGACTGAGCCGGTCAGCCTCGGCGCGCAGATCGACAAGCTCACGCCACCACTGCTCGTCGCGACGATCTGCTGCAGCAGCGCGCTGCGCGACCGCCGACCGCTCGGCCTCCGCCCTGCGCATGGCCTCCGCGACCTGGGCTGCCGCCGCACGGTGCTGGGCCTCCCGCCGGTGGAGCCTGTCGACCTCGGCCCGCCTGTCGCCGAGCTCTCGCCGCCACTGCTCGGCGCGGCGGTCTGCTTCCTCAGCGCGCTGCACGGCCGCCGACCGCTCGGACTCCGCCCTGCGCACGGCCTCGGCCCCCCCGTCTGGGCGTCCAGCAAGCGAGCTTCCGCAGGGCGCTCGGCCTCCGCGACCCGGCAGCCGCCGCGCAGCGCTGGGCCTCGGCCGCCGCCTTGCCAGCCACTCTCCGCTGGCCTGGCCTGCAGCCGCCGCAGCCGTGGGGTGCGCCAGCGCACACCGCGCCGCCACCCCGCCAGCATGCCGCGAGGCCTCGGCCTCCGCCCGGCGAGCCGCCTCGCGGGCTGCCTGACGCCCGTGAGGCCGTAGGCGCGAGGCCTCGACAGCTGCAGGCCCGATCCACACCAGACGTGTCGTCCACGCTCGCGTCCTCCTCGCCGTACCCGACGTCCGACGGGTGCTCGGTGTCGGCCTCGTCCAGCGCCACCCTCGCCTCAACGCCGGTCCGGGGGTGGGCGAGCGCGCGCCTTGCCAGCTCGCAGCGCCATCCAGTCCTTTTGGCGAGGACGCCCTCGCCACGCTCTTGCAGGGCGCGGCGCACGTCCTCCGCGGTGGCCTTGCCCGCCATGCCAAGGGCCTGGCCAGCCCGAACCAGGGTGCTCTCCACCTCGTCCAGGACTTCGCACGCTCCGCAGGTCGCGCCAGCGCGACCGCCGCGTATGGTCTCCACAGCAGCCGCCAGGAGATGCTCCTGCAGCGCTCGGCGCAGGCCCGCCGCCTGGATGGCCGCCAGGACCGCTCCCAGGGAATCCTTGGGCGCCTCCAACTGTAGGAAACAGAAAACCGTATGGAGACGAGAGTACAGCTGGAAGGGCGAACTGCAACAAGTCTTGAGCCCAAATGGCTACGGAGGACGAAGAGGAGGAGGAGGAAGAGGAGGAGGAGGAGGAGGAGGAGGAGGTGGAGGAGGAGGAGGATTCATGAGGCGTGAGGAGGGAAGATGAACGAGGAGGCGGAAGGAGAAGGCAGGGTGATGACGAGGGTCATGATTGATGGAGGAGGGCGAGGATGAGGATGTCCTGCTTCCCTTTCGCAAGCATGTTCTCCATGAGCTGGACCCGCTGACCCCCGCTTACCATGGGTGAGAGGGCGCGTGGTATGTTTGACCGTCCCCGTCTGGCTGCTCGCAAGAGCCACCCTGGGCAAGAGCGCCCTCTGGCGCGCGGCGCGCGCGTCGACATGGATTAGCGATCCACGGATTTGGCGCGCGGTCGCCAAATCCATGGATCGGGGGAGGCGCCCTCACCAAAATGCGGCCGGTGCCGCCTCGCTCGGCGGCGCAACTCCGCGATGTCCCATGGAAACGGGGCCCGTCGCCAATCCACGCCCCTTCAATCCATGCTTGCGATCGCCTGACGTTCAGGGGGGACCAGCTCAGGGGGAGGGGAAGCATCGACATTGTATCGAGTCGGGCCTGTCCCCCTACAGGGGGATTCTCTCGAGGAGCAATTAGAAAAACATGGCCAAAGGACGCTCCACAAGTAGTCCCCCGACCAGATTTTTTTGACAACTGTTTTTGGGGTCTTCCTCCTGTCGAGGGACAGGCCCGACTTAAGGGAAACCTCGACGTTGCATCGGCCACAGATCGCCGATGCCCGGGCGCGCCGCGCCCCGACGGCGAAAAAGATCCGCAGAGGTCCCGGGGCGGGGCGGGCCGTGGGGCCACCCATCCATCGGCGAGGAGTGGGCGCCGGGGGGCCGGCGCGTCCCCCCCCCCCCCCCTCCCCGGGGCCTATCCTGAAGTCGGGCCCTCCTCCTCCTCCTCCTCCTCCTCCTCGTCCTCCTCCTCCTCCTCCTCCTCCTCGTCCTCCTCCTCCTCGCCGTCCTCCTCCTCCTCCTCCTCCTCCTCCTCCTCCTCCTCCCCAGGCCTGTCCTCCTACAGGGGGATTCTTGACGAAAAATAAAAAATCCCCCCCAAAGACCCCCCAAACATTCAAACATGGTAAAAAAGAATCGTCCCACGACAACTTTTTAAAAATCATTTTTGAATATCCTTCCTGTAGAGGGACAGGCCCGACTTGAGCCTATCCCCTCCCAGCGTTGCCCCCTGACTTTCGGCGCGCCGTTCCGCTCCGCGGGGCGCGCGAAGCTCGGGGAGATTTCGGGACGTTGGCGCTGTGGGGCCGGGAAGCAGAAGGCGCGGCGCACCGGAGGGTGGTGGGCCAGAACCCGCGGAACGACCAGTTGAGGCAACGTCCCCGACCGTGCCGTCCCCCCTAATGTTGCCCCAGAACCCCAACGCCACTCTTCGGCTACAGGCAAGGAGTGACCCCAGGCAAGAGCGACCCTTGGCGCGCGGCGTTCGGAGAGCCGCGGGGGGCCCAAACCCAAGCGCGTAAGGCGCTACTATCGCCTCACGTTCGGCGGTCGGGGGGTGGGCCCGCACCAAAGGTCACTCTGGCGAAGGGTTACTCTTACGCGTAGTCGAACTCTTGCGAAATGCCACTCTCACCTGTGGCCGGCCGCACCCCCGCGGCGGCGGCGAGGTGCCGGAGCCCGCGAGGGAGCCGACGAGGTCTGCGAGGCGCACGACCTGCGCTCTGGCGCGCCCTCTCCTTTTCCTCGTGCTCGTTGTTACGTTGGCCATGCTCTGAGCATCGAGGCTCGCAACGGTCGTGTGGAGAAGGCGACGGACTTAGACCGGACACGTGGCCGCATCAAGAAGATGGGCCAGGCAGAGGGACAGAAAGGTGCAAAGCAGTTAAAGGGTCGCTGAGGCATGTATATATATAGATGAAAAAGAAAGAGAGAGAGAGAGAGAGAGAGAGAGAGAGAGAGAGAGACAGAGAAACAGAGAAAGAGAGAGAGAGAGAGTATACGCACACCTGATCAAAAGGGGGGCACCTTGTCCCCCTCCTCCTCCTGCTCCATCTTCCCTCCTCCTCCTCCTTCTCCTCCTCCTCCTCCTCCTCCTCCACCCTCCTCACCAACTTCATCCTTTCCGAAGCCCGAAGTGTCCTTGGGATCTCCGAGAAGGCCCCCGAGGCCTTCCCCTGCGGCCCACCCCACGAGGCCTCCGAGGGCCCCCGGATAGCCGAGATGGAACGAAACTAGCTGGGGACACCTGGGGCCACAGACGCCTCTGGCAGCCCCCGCTCCCCGATCCTGTTCTCCTTCCCGGGGCTCTCAGGCGACGGCCTGCCTAAGAAGGCGGCGGGACCTCGCGGACCCCCCCCCCCGCGCATTCCGAGAGAGCTCCCGCGCCTTCGGGGGAGGCTCGGCAAACTTCTCGGAAGGCCCGAGCTTCTCAGAAGGCAGGGCGACAACCGAGCCTTCTGAGACGGCCCGCCCCCTCTCACTTCCCCCCCGTTCGCCGCCGATCAACATACGGTCAACCCAAATCATAAGGATGCGCGGTACGGATGCAAGGACCTTGGAGGCCCATGTGAACGTTTTTCGAGCGAGGCTGGCCAACGAAAGTCGCTAAGGACGGGCCGAAGGGGCAAGGATGCAAGGGTGCCTGGGAAGGTTGCCCATCCTTACTATACGGATCGATTGTATACCCCAGCATGGCCCCAGAGGCTTCCGGCTGCGCTCCACAGCTGCCCACAACAGTTGCTCCCAAAAGACGGCCCAGGACGGCCCAAGGGATCACCTGCACGACCCCAAGGCCCTCCGCAGTGACCCCAAGGTCCCCGGACGGACGCAACAAACATGCACCCCACGAGGTCCTGAGACGCTAGAGAAATGCAGAATATTGCTGCGCCTCTTCCGTGCGAGCTTTGAGGCGTCGCACATGATAGCGTAACGAGCTGAGTTCGGGCACCCTCCGGTGCAGTACGCTGTGGCGCGGGCCTTGAGCTTCACAAAGATGTGGCGAATGATGTCCTGAGTCCCAAAGAAACCCCAGAGCAGGTGGCTTCATGGCCTCACGAGGGCCATGCAGTACGCTGTGGCGCGGGCCTTGAGCTTCACAAAGATGTGGCGAATGATGTCCTGAGTCCCAAAGAAACCCCAGAGCAGGTGGCTTCATGGCCTCACGAGGGCCATAAGACTAACCAACATGTATGGCCAAAAGTGTGTCCAGGCCATGACCCCCCACGGTGATTGATGGGTGTGTGTGTGTATGTGTGTGTGTGTGTGTGTGTGTGTGTGCGCGTGCTGGTTCGCAAGAGCGATCCAGGACCACCATCGATACGATACGATGCCCAGCGCACCTCTCCCTGCCACCCCACGGACGACCCAGTGCATCACAGTATGCTAAACGCGAGGCCCCCCCCCACCCACCAAAATCCCCCAGAGGTGCCCAACACCGAATAGACACTCTGGGCAGCTCCCGAAAGTCCGACGGCTCCCCGCCCACCCCTTGCCTCCTTAGACATCCAGAGGGATCGCGCCGCCCTTCGTCTCTCTCTCTCTCTCTCTCGCCAGTCCAACAATGAATCCGTCGAAGCAACGCACATGGGAGAAGGAAGGGGGGAGGGGAAGAGGGCTACCCTCCGCCGCCGCCGCCGCCGCCTGGCCCGCGGCCTGCCTGACTCACGGTCCGGGCGCCCGCCTGGCCCGCGGCCTGGGCGCCCCGCGCCGCCCTGGTAGTTTTTTTTTTTTTTTTTTTTTTTTTTTTGTTTTTGTTTTGTTTTTTGTTTTTTGTTTTTTGTTTTTTCTTGTATTATTATTATTATTAGTATTTTTTTTTTTTTGGGGGGGGGGGGGGGGGGTGTTTTGTTCTCTC